TGATCTTAAACAATTATTACTTTATCTTTAAAAGTATAATTTGACCTCAAAAGATAATAACTTTCAGTAAAATATTAATTTTTTTTCGTAATTGTTTTAAGAAAAAAAGTAATTTTATTTACATGTAAATATTCTTAAGTCCATACAACGGTTTCAAATAAACTCATTCAACGATCATTAACATTTCTTTCAAAGTTGAATGAAGATCCGCAGTATATGCTTGTCCGGATATAGGTCATCTCAAGTTGAATATTTTTGAAAAAGACCTTGGGGGCATAAAACAATTGTGTATGATTGAGGCACCTAAAGAAGTCACGTGCCCCAATCAACCGAACAAATGACTCTAGTGTTCGACTGAATATGCCGAGTTGTTAATATGATTGAACTGGAAATGAGGCTAAGCAGAGCTTGCAAGTAGTCATTTGTACGGAGATTCTTCAGTAAATGAGATAGCTAGGTTATCTCGAGAAATTAGGAGTTGAGCTGAACTGGTAAGAAAGTTGTCTAAATTATAGGTGAATGTTATCAACATGCCCTAATAAATAGGCAAACGAGAAAGAAGTTTGAGAGAAATCTTAGCATCTAAAAGAATCCGACTGAAAATTAGGTGTGCTACCCAGTATAGTCAATAGCGAAAATTTTGCTAAAGAAATTGTCACACGATGCTATAAATATCAGGTGATGCTTGAGTCAAAGGTGCGCACTTCATTTCTGGCTGTAAAAGATAATCCAAATCCTCAAGGATAGTCGGATAATCCAAACCCTCGAGGATAATAGAGACGCATCCTCCATCGTCTAGTAGCCAAAGGCTTTACTCAACAACTCGGGGTGGATTATGAGGATACATTTAGCCTAATGGTAAAACCCACCACCATTCGTATTGCCTTATATCTAGCTGGCTATTTCTCATGTTTGGCCTGTTAACCAAATTGATATTCAGAATGCCTTTCTCCAAAGAAATTTGTCTAAAGAAGTTTACGTGAAATAATCGCTTGATTTTGTTCATCCTAAAGACCCAAATCATGTGTGTAAATTGAATAAGGCACTATATGGGCTCAAATAGACACCTCGGGTCTGGTTCTCAAGACTCAGCTCTAATTGGGTTCATATTCACTATTTCTTCTTAAAAGAAATTTCGGAATATTCCACAAACTATCTCATTCTTTGGATTTTTGTCTTATCCACCCCAAGGGTCATTTTAATTGTAAAAACTACCAAAAGAAAATATTCAAATGTAGAATAATGAAAGAAACCCTAAACTATTAATAAAACAACTATTCTAAACGGTCAATGAAACATTGTTGTTGTCACAACCCACGACTAGGCGAATTCACCATAGGTAAATAATTATCGATAACTTCATTTAATTACTTGTTACCTTTATTTTATATTATGTTCAATACAATTAAATCGAGTCACTTTAACCCTATTTCCAATCATTTTCTTTACCTAAACATTTCTTTTAACACTTAAAACACGTTAAAGTATTATACAAACTAATTGCCCGAGTTTAACTAAAGAAGGCTTCAATCCTCAATAAATTATCAAAAAACTAAATTAATTAGAAAATAGACATCTTAAGCTTTCAAAGGACTGGTCATGGGCTCTAAATGGTATCCCGATGAACGCATTACAATCGTTTCTTTTGCTGGGTATCAAATCTGTCCATGCAAAAAGGTTCCATATTTTAGTCATTTACAAACAAAAACTTGTATGGACACAATAATGATCTGGTGTTCTAACCTATACCATTAGAACGAATTTTGAATCTAATTTTCTACACTTCAAACGATACACAAATCCGAAATTCCTAAAGAAAATTATCATCTTTTTCTATCGTCTACCTAGTTGTCTGTCCAAAACTAGGAATCACCATCAACTTTCGATTATCTTGTAATCTAAGTCACTTTCTCATGCAATTTTTCAAGACAATTGCAAGAGGCTATTTAACATCTAAAATCCATCATCCAAGATTCTTCTTTCTTTTCTTTTTTTCCCGTCGCTCGTCCCTTGCCAAACCACCCCTCTTATTCTTTCCTTGACTTTTGGTAGCACTCCCTTTTGTTTTCCTATGTTTTTGCCCGTTTGTTATTCACACAACACATCATATAAAAACTCATGCATGTAAAGCACATGCCTCCACCGATTAATGCCACCTCTCCACCCACTTGCCTTTCCCTTACGAAGCTGACCATTAAACACACCAGTACACACCACTTTAAGCTATATATGTTTGTTATCTCAACAGACTAACTCATATCTGAAACTAAGTGCAATGTAAATAATTTTGAGAGAGATATTAGTAGTCATCAAATGGATTTATTTGATACCATTAAATGGACTTTTTTAAGCTTACTCTATTTTATATTATAAATTATAGATATATTGTTCTTCCTTTTCTTTGACTTCATCTACCAACTTAATTGAAATCTAATAAATACTATTAGGAATAAATCATGATAACTATGTATCTTAGTCACCAAATAATTCATATAATCACAATCTACTCTAAGAGCATATCCAACATTGATTCAAATTTAGACTCAAATTTAAATTTGTATAAAAAAGTCCTAAAAACTTGTTCTAACCTTTGACTCAAACTTATACCAAATCAAAGGAGACTTTTTTTTTTAACTCAAATCAAGAGAGACTCAAATCCTTACTCAAATCTTTAATGATGATATTTTATCATCTTTTAAAAATATAATGCTTATTTTTACTCTCTTTTAAATTTGAGTTTGCCTACATTTAAATTCGGGTTTATCATTCTTTAAATTTGAATTTATCCATTGAAGATTTTTGTATCAAATCAAATTTTTTACTCAAATGTTAATTTAAATTTGAGTCATAATTGGAGATGATATATTTCATATCTCTCTTTTGACCCATCATAAACTAGTTATAGTCAAGGATTAAAATTTCGTTTCAACACTAAATTAACTCATTGTAGTTTCAATTATTGCAATTTAACTTCGGTATCACTTCATTTATTTTTTTTTCCAACAAAACTTTAATACTTTAATTTACCATTTAGCGGGCTTCTAACGACTTCCGAAACTATATTTTGACCCCCAAGTGTGAGAGAGAGAGAGAGAGAACTTTGGACAAAAATTGGAAAGTTGTTCATGTGATACATGCAAACTGCCATCACTCTAGCGACGCTAATAGCCAAATTTTGGTTATAAATAGCCATGGCCGGTGGCCGGACAACACAGAAAAGAAGAGAAAAAGGAGGGAGAGAGAGGAAGAAAAATGTCAAAATTTTGTCAGTCTAGAATATCGTCTTTACGATAAAAAATTTGGGTAAGCTTTTTGAATTACGATTTAGTAACTTTATAAGTTCAATTCACTTAAATTTGATTTTCATTAAATATTTTTGAATTAAATTCGGGTATTGTTATTTTTCGTTTAGTTACTCCAAAAGTTATTTTTAGTTTAACTAAGCCATTATTATCTATTTTTATTTTAAAAATATTAGTCCATTTTGTATTGCCACAGAAAACGGTATCAGTTCAAGGTAACATCAGAGGTAAGCTTTCTTTTATCTTTTATTGTCATGAATGTATTTCATGTAAACTTGGGGGTTCCATATCAAACCTATTTTGATTATATAATACTTTAATATTAGTTTGCATTATCTATGTGGTTGGATTTAGGTTTTACCACTAAATCGTGGTTTATGCACATGTGATATTTTTGAATCAAAACCCTAATTATCTTGTGGAATCAAGTTGTATATAAAATATTTTTGATTTTATTCTAACATATTTATTTAATATTTGACTTTCTATTGATCTGAATACGAAGACTCTGTTTATGCTTTTTAATTAAATTGCCTTAAATACACACATTTGATGATAGATGGTTAGTAGACGCATAGTACTTGCAAAGATTCACATAATTCCTATTAGTTCTTAGGTTTATTGGTTAGTAACATCAGTTGTCGTTGTTAGCCTGTGTGGTACCATAAAATTTTCGATATTGATATTCCAAAAAAGTAAAAAAGGCATCGAGTTCCTTAGGGTACAAGACTTCAAAGTTTTCTCCTAATACAATTCATGCGTGGAGCAGAAAATTGATGAATTGTGATTATTGATATGCGTTGTATTCCTGTGATTCTTAATTTAACTATTTATGCTCTTATTTGTTATTTAATTATATTTATTTATTCTTTTAAAACCTTAATAGTTATTTATAAAAGTTATCCTACCAAGTTAGTGAGGTCACCCCTATTTAACATTTTTCAGAAGTGGGAAGGAATCTGGGAGAGTAAGCTGGAGAGATTGCAAATAGAAGTTATTACTACTATGTCTCTTTATGTTATAACGAAATGGTTATCTGATTATATTTTGATCATGTTATGTTCGAATCTAACTCTATTCAGAATATATTTTAATGGTTTAATAAGAATATAAGAAAGCTTATTATGACTTTTTTTTTTTTTTGGATCGTCCGGTTCCTTGTTGTTTACCGTACTGAGGACTAAAATCTTCTTAAACATGGCAAGATTTTTTCATCTCTTTATGTAGAAGTCTATGGTATTGGGAAAAAAAAATAATTGTTATTGTATCCCTATTAATAGTTTTGTGATCTATTTTTATAATTTTTAAGGATTATTTATAATTTTTGAGGTTATTTACAATATTTGAAAATTATTTACAACTTTTGAAATTATTTGTGATCAATTCTAAAATTTATTTTTAACATCGATTTTAAGTAACTCACAAAAGTTATAAATAATTCACAAAAATTATAACTTAAACCATAAAAATTCTCGTATAACTTCAAAAGTTGTAAAAAAAAATTATCTTAAATAAACCTAAAAACTTACATCTTTCTCCACAATATTTATAAAATTTGATGGTACGATACCGAAATTGTTTGTTCGGTACCGTAGTCGACCTCTTTGGCCTAAGGTACTTCCGTGTCGAATGAATGACCATGATCAAAATGCACTATAAATACTTATAACAAGGTTCATAAACTAATAATTTCTGTCAATGGCAAATCCATCTTCTCTTCCTCTTCAAGAACGAAAGCCTCGTAAAAACACCATTCCACGAGTTGCGGAGCTTATCATCCTCTTCCTTCTCTTTTCTCTCCTTGTTTACCGTCTGTTCTCTCACTAAACTATAAGTGGAACCAAGTGTATTACAAAACATACCCAGAACGCCTCTTGCACTGGTATCCAAAAACTTCCCTCTCTCTCTCTCTCTCCCTACTTTGCAACCCTTATCTAAGCTAGCAAGCTCTTTACCTGTTTGACACATGTATAACACCTAGTGGTACAACTGAATCGAATTGAACGGAGCATCAACTGTTCAGGACAGAAACGAGAAGAGATTTAAATATCTTAATCTTGGCTCTTTAAGTTTTTTTTACAAGCTCGAATAGGGTTTTGCTCGATTGATTAAACAAACCAAACTTGAGGTTGCATAAATATGTGTGCACACGAACTGAACAACTTATTTAAGCTTAGTTCATTGGTTAAACCAGCATTAAAATTGAGCTTGAGATCAAGTTCGGCTGGTTCACTAAGTAAACGACTATGAACGTGCTTTAACCTGAGTTGACTCTAGTATTTTTAGCTCGATTGAAAACATTCTTGAAACTTGACAATCATATTATTTTTATTTGTTTCTTTCTTAAAATAGGAAACCTGCTCATGAGCTTCCCTCGGTGGACATGTTCGTCAGAACGACCGACCCTGTCCTTGAACCGCCGATTATCACCGTGAACACCGTACTATCCTTGTTAGCAGTTGATTACCCGGCGAACAAGTTGGCTTGCTATGTCTCTGACGATGGTTGTTCCTCTCTCACCTTCTATGCTCTCGTCGAAGCAGCTAAGTTTGCTAAGCTTTGGGTTCCATTTTGTAAGAAGTTCAACATTACTGTTAGAGCTCCATTTCGATACTTTAATGGCGAGTCCTTATGGTCCGAAGATAGTTCATTGGACTTCCGAGACGAATGGAAAAAGATAAAAGGTGAGCTGAGAACTCTGACACTAATCTCACACTGTTAAGTAAGTAGCATATCTCACTCCTCCAATCAAGGGGATTGATTCACACGTGACCATTCATAACACATGTAGTAGTTTTACTAGTTAAATGAGCAGTTAAATAGTTTGTTAGGCAGTTAGTTAAGTCCATTTAGTTACCGGTAATAAATGTTGAGCTAGTAGTCAGCTACAGAGGTGTATGATGAGGTCTAATTATTCTATAAATACACCTGTAATCTGTATAAATTAAATTGAGAAATGAATTTGACTGATGTTCTTTATGTTCCTTTACTCTCTTCCAATTTACTTTTTGTTCATAAATTGTGTGCTACTAATCATTGTCCTATAACATTTGATGAACATGAATTCTTTAATCAGGACAAGGCCACGGGCACTCTTCTCTATAGAGGAAATAGTACTAATGGCTTATATCCTATCCAAGTTTTACCTCAGTCTTCTTCAATTACTGCAAATCTAGGTAGTCGAGTTCATCATTAGCTTTGGCATGATAGATTGGGGCATCCTTCTCATCCTATTCTTCAGCAAGTTTTATCTACTTTCCAGCATTCTTCCTCTATTGCAAATAAGCCTTGTACTTGTGAACATTGCATTTATGGCAAGATGTCTAAGCTGTTTTTTCCTGTGTCACACATTGTCTCATTTTTTCCTTTAGAATTGATGCACACAGATGTATGGGGTCCTGCTCCTGAAATGTCTTACAATGGCTATAGATATTATATTTCTTTTATAGACAACTACTCCAAGTTTACTTGGATTTATCCTCTTGCTCAAAAATCTGATGTTTATCAGGTTATTTGTCACTTTAAGCCTTATGTTGAAAATTTACTCACTCATACAATCAAAATTCTTAGATCTGATAGAGGTGGAGAATTTATCAGTCATCCTTTGAAATCTTTTCTTCAACAGTCTGGCATTTCTCATCAAAAATCCTGCCCATACACTCCTCAGCAGAATTGAGTGGCTGAGAGAAAACACAGACATATAATGGAAACAGCTATTACCCTTATGTCTAAGGCCTCAGTTCCTACAAAATTATGGGTTCATGCCTTTTCCACAGCAGTCGATCTCATTAATAGCCTTCCTAGTTCAAATACTTCACATAAGTCTGTTTTTGAACTTCTTTTTGGACAGAGACCTGATTATCAATTTCTAAAAGTCTTTGGTTGTTCATGTTTTCCTCTTCTTAAACCATATAATTCTCATAAACTTCAGCCAAAGTCTAAGCTTTGTGTCTTCCTTGGATACACTCTTGATTTTAAAGGATATATTTGTTATCATATTCCTACTCAAAAGATGTACATCTCTAGACATGTCCTATTTGATGAAACCACTTTTCCTTTTGCAAATACCTCCTCCTCTTCTACTTTATCTCCTACACCCTCAGTGTTAGGACCTCATCCTCTTTATTTTTTCCCATTGGACTCAGTATCTTCTTCTTCCATTACTACTCAAACCTCTATTCCCCCTTCTTCACAGCAGAATCTCTTAGGATCTAAATGGGTTAATAGAATAAAGTATAATGCCAATGGTACTATTGCTAGATATAAAGCAAGATTAGTGGCCAAAGGCTATCACCAAGAACCAGGCATAGATTACACTAAGACCTTTAGTCCTGTGGTCAAACATGCAACAGTAAAGGTTATTCTGTCTCTAGCTGCTACATATGGTTGGAAGCTTCAACAATTGAATGTTAAAAATGCCTTTTTACATGGTACTTTGAAGGAGGATGTCTACATGGCTCAACCACCTGGTATTATTGATCAGACAACACCTCATCATGTCTACAAACTACATAAATCCATTTATGGTCTCAAACAAGCTCCACGAGCTTGGTTTGAAAGGTTCACTACTCATCTTTACACTTGTGATTTTCCTGCCTCAGCTGCAGATCCCTTACTGTTCATCAGAAAATGTGGCTCTTCTCTCACAGTCCTACTTCTGTATGTGGATGACATCATTCTTTCAGGCAATGATTCATCTTATATACATACTCTTATATCCCATCTGCACACTGAGTTTGAAATGAAAGACTTAGATCCTCTTCATTTCTTTCTAGGTTTGGAAATTAAACACAGCTCCACTAGTCTGTTTATTAGTCAGGAAAAACACACAAAAGACCTTCTTCAGAAGACAAACATGGCCACTTGCAAAAGCTGTAAAACTCTTTGTGTTTCTGGTAATAGATTGGGAAAGAATGATGGTACTTTGCTTACTGATCCTACTGTCTATAGAAGTGTGGTGGGTGCACTTCAATACTTAACTTCTACAAGACCTGATATCACCTTTGTTGTGAACCATGTTTGCCAATTCATGCACTATCCCACAGATGTTCATTATGCAGCAATCAAAAGAATCCTTAGATATCTTCAAGGCACTTTGTCCAATGGCCTTACTTATCAAAGGAGTTCTCTATCACTTACAGCCTTTGCAGATGCTGACTGGGCTGGAGATCCAGAGGATAGGAGGTCCACAACTGGATTTTTCATTTATTTGGGAAACAATCTTGTTCATTGGGGCACAAAGAAACAATCCACATTATCTAGGTCCTCTACTGAAGCAGAGTACAGGTCCTTGGCTTCCACTGCTACTGAGTTATCCTGGCTAAGAATTTTACTCTGTGATCTACATATATTTCTTCCCACAGCGCCAAAGCTCTGGTGTGACAATGTCTCAACAATGGCCTTGGCTTCAAATCCTGTGTTTCATGCTCGCTCAAAGCATATTGCTATTGATTTTCATTACATTCGAGAAAAGGTGGTTCGTAAAGATTTATCAGTCCATTATGTTTCAACACAAGATCAAGTAGCTGATGTCTTCACCAAAGGCTTGACTACTGCCAATTTCATTAAGTTTTGAGACAAACTAATGATTCATACTTCCTCATTAGTTTGAGGGAGGCTCATAACACATGTAGTAGTTTTACTAGTTAAATGAGCAATTAAATAGTTTGTTAAGCAGTTAGTTAAGTTCAGTTAGTTACAGGTAATAAATGTTGAGCTAGTACTCAGCTACACAGGTGTATGATGAGGTCTAATTGTTCTATAAATACACCTATAATCTGTACAAATCAAATTGAGAAATGAATTCCAAAAAATCATTTTTCTGATTCTTCTATTTTTCATTTCTTCTTGTGAGTTCTCTCTTGAGTCTCTGCACAGATTTTGTCAACCATTGCATCCTATACCAAGAATTTGATTCCTACAATCTTGTATTTTGTTTTAATTTTTTTTCATGTATAAATGTTCTAGAATAGTCTTCTCATACTATATATACTTGTATACCCGTCATCAATGTATTCATCATCAATGAAATATTCATGACTAGAAACTTTTCTTCCTTTCATGGTATGAGAGCCTTTATGCGTCTCTCACCCTCTATAATTCATTGATTCTATAAAGTTGTTCTTCACCCTCTGCATTTTCTTTCATAAAGCTGGTTATTGATTTCTTCAAGAACTCTTTGTTGCTTTGTAGTTGTAGCAAGTAGCCTATTACTTTTGTTCCCACCGTTTGATAGCAAACCAGCACGTACCTTCCCACCTCTGGCAGCATTCAAGCATATAGTCAGCACATACTTCTTCCTATAGAAAAACAAGAAATAGGGAAAAGGAAATGATAGGCTAAAAAACAGAGAAAATATAACTTTATTTGCTGCTTGAAAAAATTATGAGTTGCTTACAAGTTGCGGATTACATGACTCTTAAATAGACCAATTTGTAAATAAATTTTCCTACTTTTACTCCAACTATGTCCTACAAAATAGTAACTTGCTGACTTATAGATAACAACTTGCACACTAATAGTCAGCATATGACTTATTCAACAATAATTTAAATTGACAAAGTCCAACCTAAAATACATGAGAATTTAACCAAGTTTGGATTACGTCCAACAAACCCCCTCAATTCAAACTTGTGGCTGCACTCCCATCATGTCATGAAACTTCTTGAACTTTTCATCAGGCAATGCTTTTGTGAAAATATCAGCCATTTGTTCTTCAGTGTTGCAATGTTCCAACTACACTTGTTCTGTTGTCACAACTTCACGAATGAAATGATGCTGAATTTCGATATGCTTCGTCCTTCCTTGATGTACTAAATTTTTGAAATTGCAATGGTTAACTTGTTATCGCAAAACATCCATATGGCCTCCTCTTGCTTCTCTTTCAAATCACACAAGATTCTCCTTAGCCATATTGCTTGACAAGTTGTTGTTGTGGCTGCAATGTACTAAGCTTCAGTGCTTGAAAGTGTTGTAGTGAGCTACTTCTTTGATGTCCATGATATCACTCCCGAACCAAGACTAAATACATAGTTTGTAGTGCTTTTTCTGTCATCGATATAACCTGCCCAATCACTATCAAAAAATGATATAAGTTTAAAGTTAGTGACATGTGTATACTGAATCCCATAATCAAGAGTGTCATGTATGTATCTCATGATCCTCTTTGCTGCCCCAATATGATACTTGCTTAGATTTTGCATAAACCTAGAGATGATGCTCACAGAAAACATAATATCAAGTCTCATGTGTATGAGATAAAGTAGCCCTCCCACAATACTTCTAAAGGACCTCTCATCAGTAGTTCTAGTACCATCTACCACAACAAGCTTCTCATTCACATTCATAGGAGTCTTTGCAGGTGTAGAATTTGACATACCAAATTTCTTTAACAAATCCAAAACATATTTTTTCTGACTTACAAAAATTCCATTTGAATCTTGAATCACCTGAATTCCAAGAAAATAATGCAAAAGACCCAAATCTGTCATTTCAAAATTCTGCATCATCTTATCCTTAAATTCTCTTATCATCCTTGAAGAGTTACCAGTATATATCATATCATCAATGTATAAGCACACAATTGACAAGTCATCATTGGCATGAGTTTTCACATAAAGAGTAGGTTCACTAGTACTTTTACACAAACCATTGTCCAGAAAATACCTGTTAATTTTGTTATACCATGTCCTTAGTGCTTGTTTGAGCCAATAGAGTGTCTTC